GTGCACTGCCCGACGGCCGCGGCCGAACACACGGCCGCCGCCGCCGTGGCGGCCGCGTCCGACGCGAAACTGTTGGCCGTCGTCATATCCAAATAAGCCGTCGTGGCCGAAACGGTTTTTTTTATTTTTTCCACTCCGACGGACGGCGCCGACGACCGTACGACCGTACGCGGTGCGCGCGGGATGTACACAGCATCTACACGACCGCGCGGGAACAACGTCGTTTCGCATAGCCGCCCTTTCGCGTTCGAAGCGACGAAGGAATCATATCAAAATGTATGTTATTCGTCACCCGCTACACGCGTTATTACGTACGATAATAACGTACACGATCGTCGAAACCCACCCCGTCATCCTCCCCCCCCAAACCACCCGTACAAAGGCGTTCTTTGATCTCATTTTTATAAACATGTGTAAATATTCAAACGTTATATTTTTATACACACCGCATACGATTATTATTACTATTATTTTACTATGACAAAATATAATTATTACGTGAAATCACTATATTTATTTATTACATTTCTGTAAAGTTTGTTTTTTTTTTATATATATACAATTGTTTATTCTTTTTTTATATTATTTAAATATATACATAGAAGATATTGATCATTATTTTTTAATTTCATTTGCTGTATTCGACACACTTGAATGGCCTGTTATTAATATAATGATAACTGTAATAACGAATATTCGTTTGTTTTCAAATGTACACCTTACACGTCGATGTTCGCGTACCAGTGGCGTATACAGGAAATATTTTCGGGAGGGGCGACTATGGACAGGGTTAACTTACCACTGCTATCTAAGAATTACTAACAAGACGCACTACATTTCATTTACATAACGTATCAAAACGATTTGAAGTTGGACGCAAATTCTAAATAAGTATAAAACACCATTAAAATACCATTTAACCATTTAACCAAAAGCCCTTTCAAATAATTTTTAAGTTTTTTAAAACATTTCAGGAGGGGGGGCTGTAGCTTACTAGCCCCCCCCCCTCCTATATACGCCACTGTCTCGTACAACTCCGAATAGTACCTCCTCCAATCAAAACATTTTGTATAGCACGTGCACGCGAACGCGTCATTAATTTTTCCATAGGATTCATTATCGTTTTACTACAACATAACAAACACTACAAACACGTGTGTACGAAATATTTTGTTCATCAAAACCATATAATATCGTCGTCTGGTCATGGTGACTTGTATAACAAGCTTACGTTGGCAATATCGACGTAAGATCGGTCAGACTACAATATCCTCGTGACGCAGTTGATCACGTGCATTTTTGCCAGACCCATGAGCTAAATCGTGAATTACATAAAGGACGGCAGCAACAACAGAGTGGAGTATGTGACAAAATTTTGCGTAACACAATCAATACTATAGCGTCTCGGATATTTGACTCCATCGCATCGCAATTATAATTGTTGTTATTGTTACTTATAATAAATCCCGTTTTTCGTACATATATGTATACATGTGTTATATGAATACGATGTTTATAATAATTAAACTGACATCACTGTAATAGGTCCCAACTTGCAATTTAATTGGCTGTTTTTATTTGATCTCATAAATTTTAAACAAAATAATAAAAATAGTAATTTATAAATTAGTAAAACAATTTCGTATCTTATATTGTTACCCCAGTCATTCCAACTTTAAGACCGAGTGAAAGAGGGTGACAACACGAGTGAGGCAAACATTCTCCACTAACTCAAAAATATCGATACCAGTTTAGTGGCGCATTTAAAGGGGCGAAAGGGGTAAATGCCCCGGGTGGCAAATTTTTGGGAGCGGCAAAATATTTTAACTTTTATTATTGATGTGTTCATGATTTTTTTAATTTTCACACCTTTTTCGGTATTGTTTAGTATTTTAAAAAATATTGTTGAGTATCTAATAAGAAATTAAAAAAATTATACTATACCTAGTCACCTAGGTAATAGTGAAATAACAAAATAGGTATATTATATTTATTATTCGATAAGATATTATATTTTCGTTCAATGTTTATAATAAAGACTCGGGTACACAGAACGTGGTATTCACTTAAGGCACATTTAAAAAGTTTACAAAAGGAGCAAAATTGTACCTAAAAGTGTTCAATGTATGTTAGCATTTATAAAAGAGAATAGTTTAGTTGAAGTATATCCTTATATTGATATTGCTCTAAGGATGCTACTATATATGTACACCTTCAAGTAATTGTTCAACGGAAAAATCATTTTCTACATTAAAAAGGGTCAAAACTTATTTAAAATCAACAACGGGAGAAAATCGTCTTAATTAATTAACGACCCTCAACATTGAGCTGATTTAACGAAAACTATTAATTTTAATGATATTGTTGAACATTTTCCTTCTCAAAAGTCAAGAAAAAAATTATAAGCCATCGATTATTTTATTATATATAATTAATAATTAATATAATATATTTAATCTATATATGACACCATTGTACATATAATAAGTGTTAATTCCGTTTTCTATATTTAATATATAAACTATACATGGTATACATGATACCCCCCCAAAACTTTTTATGTAATTTTTTTTTTATTTATTATATTGTGATAATATGATTATTATTATTATTATTACGATTACTATTATTATTATTATTATTATTATCATTAACATTTAAATTATTAAAATTTTTGTTCTGGTGAGGGGGGGGGTAATATATGAGGTGTACAGATTTTGCTACAACCTATAATCCTCCCCCAAACCAAATTTCTAATTACGCCACCGTATATATATATATATATATATATATATATATATATTTTAAGAAAGGAATATTCACTTTGAAAAAAAATTAGGTTAACGTTAGGATATATATTACTATAAAATTATCTAATAGGTACAATATCGTAAAACAACTGATTTATAATTTGTTTCATAAAATTAAATGTTTTATTGCTTAACTTTGAATTTATTTATATATATATTTTTTTTTTTGATAAGGGGGTAGGGCGGAAAAATTATTTTGCCCCGGGGCGCGTTTATATTAAATGCACCACTGTACCAGTTATGTCCGCTTTATGAATGACATTTTTAAACGTAAGAAAATAAAATGGATTATTGTGATATATATGATACGATAGCGAAAATAAGTTAATCATGTAACGTAGTGGCGAACGCAGAATTTTTTGATGGGCTTGAAAATAAACATTTATATTTGGTTCATAAAAATAGAGTACATCCATCCAAGGCCGTATCTGGGATGTCCAGGGTGTCTGGACCCCCTCACCCCCGAAAATATTCAATATTTTACGAATGTTTAAAATACTTATTTATTTTTAATACCAACATAAATATTTTCAGTCAAAATAGACTTAAGCTCCAATTAATCATTGACAGCTTTTAATTTTATATCATAGTATCATATAAAAACTTGATATTAATTTTAATAAAAGAAGAATAAATCTTTTTCTGTTATATTTTAAACCAAATATCAAAAGTTAAAATCTAAATTCAATAAAATTACAATATACATGTTTTGGACCTCTTCCGAAAAAAATTTCTATATACGGCCTTATCCAACCTTTTATACTGCTGTTATAATAATACTTTACAGTTTACTTCAATGAACAAAGTAAATAATATGTACGTATATATATTAGGGTGGTTCTTATTTTTTAACTTTCGACATTTCGAGCCAGGTACCCGCCATTTTGTTTATTATAATTAGTAAATAATTGGAACTAAATTTGGTCATGATGACTCACTCCCTTCCCATGCCTCAAGAGGGTTGAAAATTTGTCATAGAGGGTAGTTTTGTAGTTTTGTGAATTTAACTCAAAAACTATAGTACTTAGCGAAAAAATGTATAGAAGGTTAATTATATATTTTAATGTTGCTCATAAAATATATATTTAAAAAAATTTGTCATAAGTCTGTAATTTTCCAAGAAAAATAGTAAAATACGAAATATTTTATTTATTTTACAAAATAGATTTTTTATATTTATTCATGTGTTTAATAAAATATTAAAAATACGATAAAATTTCTTACATAAAAATCGATAAAAATTTAATATCCTAAAGAAAGTAGTTGTTAAATTTTCAACGGAGTATCCATTGTATTATAGTAATATTTTGATTATATAAAATAATAATTTTGAAAATTATAATTTTAATCAAATATGTAGAAGATATATTAGATTTATCATGATTTTCAATAATAAGAATATTTGTTTGGCGATAACCATGTGTTGAAAACTATTTATGACCACTATAATTTATTATTATCAATATTGGTGTCATTAAATACCTATCGCAAAAATGAAATTAGCCAACATGTTTAATTTTCTGTTATTCACCGAGTGTACGGCGATGTGGTTAGACAAATTGTGATTGTAGTAGTGTTCATTGTAAGATATTGTATAATAATGTTCCTATATAAAGTATAAGTTTTAATTTACATATTCAATTATGTCAAGACAATTCATTTTCTTGGTTGGTGTTATGAAAAATCAAATAACTGGTAGTAAGCTTCCATCAAAAAGAGATATTTTGAGCGTTACAATACCTATGCATTTAGTCAAACTAACATTACATGATAGCGCTAGTCTTGTGTTTGATGAATGTCAAATTTTTTGGAGAAAAGCGCGTATACCAATTCAAGGTCGATCAAATTGCGTAACGAAAATTAAAAAACTCTATGACGAACGGAGAAAATTAGATAAAAATAAAAATAGATATACTGATACACAAAAAAAAATTATGAATACGTTTAAAGACAATTTAAATGACTTATTTGACATTGTGCATAGTAATGCTTTAAATATTATAAAAATTCATGAAGATAAACTATTTTTAATAAAACAACGTGAAATAGAACGTCATGGATGCATGATGGGTAAAGATTCAAAGTTAACCGGTCTTGAATTTCGAAAATTGTCTTTAGAAAAACAAAAAGCTAGACAGAATGAAAAACACAAAATCACATCGAAATCAAATGGTAGTTTATATAATTATATTTTTAAAATTAATGTAAATTTATAATTTTAAATCATTACTTTCAAAAACAATGTTTCTAATAATTTTTATACTACAGTTGTGTCTATGGACTATACATCAGATGAAAACTTCACTGATGAAGATGAAATTATAAATCTTGAAAGTCCTGGTCCATTAACAATCAAGCGAGCAAGAAAGAAAATTATAAACCACCGTTTATCGGCAGCATTAGATAAATGCAAAGTAAGTGACCGAGATGCCGTGTGTTTATTTACAGCTGCAGCTGAATCATTTGATGTCAATACTTATGAGTACATAATTAATAGATCTTCAATTAAAAGAGCTCGATAAAAGTGCCGTGAACAATTATCTGAAGCTATAAAATCTAATTTTTTAAATGTAAATCTATAATATTACGTTGTGCATTGGGATTCAAAATTACTATCAGACTTAACAAGAAGGGACACAATAGATCGACTTTCTGTGATTATCACAGCTCCTAATGTTGAACAATTATTAGGAGTTCTACAATTACCATCTGGGAGTGGAAATGAAATATGTTCAGCTGTGTATAATACTTTAAACGATTGATGTCTATTAAATCAAGTTGAAGCTTTTGTATTTGACACTACTGTATCAAATAGTGACTGTCTAAATGGTGCATGCGTTCTTCTTGAACAAAAATTAAACCGAAATATTCTATTTTTTGCTTGTCGTCACCATATTTTTGAATTAACAGAATTCCAAAAATTCTTACTCGGCAATAAAAACACACAGACTAAATTTACATGCGACTATGAAGAATCAATAGGTGACATTTTTTCCCTAGAATCTCATATTGCAATAGGACACTGCGTCAGCAAATGTTTAAACATGTCAAATGGAATAGCCTTAGAATTTAAAAATAAATTTAATAATGAAGATAAACTAATTAGTCAAAAAAAAAAAAAAATTACAGAAGTAACTCATTTAAATTTAAATAATAAATGGATTTTATACTTAATTACGAAAAACAAATACTATGATAAACCTACCTACTTAAACATATTTAATACTTTGATAAATACTAGACAATTTTGTATAGAAAACAAAATTAGTACATTAGCATTACCAAAAATATGTGCGGGATTGGACAAAAAACAATGGGAAATTATAGCCAGCATGTTAAAATTTATTTTTCAAAATTCAAATATTAAAATTAGAATATTTTCATTACCAGAAAATGAGAATAAATTAAACAATAATATCACAACTACTAATCAGTCGCAAACTGAATATATTAATAATTCAAAGACTAACAGCAATGACAATTTGGAGAAAGAAGTGGCATTGATGGCTGGTTCATTCACCAAATTAAACGACGTACCGCATGATGGTGACTGCGGCGCCCATGCATTGCGGATTTGTCTTCAGAATAATAATATATACAAAACAACATTACAAATATAAAATATGTTAAATATACCTTATTGTAAAACAGGAAACAATCTCAGGGATGATGACTTGGCTTTTATTAGTAACTTATTTAATCTGAATCTGTTTATAATATACGAAACAAATGAGAATACCAACGCAATCATTTATTGGAAACCAAACCGCCAAAACATTGGAATTTTTCATAAAAATTTTCATTGGATACCTGTCATTTTCATTAAAACAAACAACCCACAAAAAGTTTCTAATATTACCATAAACACTAGTTTTCCTGATTCAAATACAATAAAAAAATACATAAATAACCATTTTGAACGCCAAAACTGTTTGCAAAATACAAATAATAATTTAGTTATAGGAAACAATAATTGTAATTATTACAATGATATAATAACAGAAAAATAACGTAAACAAAGAGTACTTTCAATAAAGGTAGAAATAAGGGGGATCGAAAAATATGCGATAGTAGACACCGGTTCGAATTTTTCATGTATAGATTACTCATTAATCGAAAATAAGGAACTATTAAAACCCGAAGAAAGAGTTACAATAACAGGTGCAGATAATAACGAATTAGAACAATTAGGAAACATAAATTTAACAATTAGAATAAACAACTATAACTACCTTATAAATGCATTTGTGATAAGAGGACTTCAATGCAAATTCTTTTATGAAATGATTTTAATATTAAAAATAACGTAATAATCAATTTTAAAAATAAAAGTATTGAAATTAAAAACAATTTTATAACAATAGACGAAATTTAGTACCACCATCACAAAAATAGTAATTCAAATATGTATACGGAAATAGAATACATAGCCAGTATTAACTATAGCAAAAAGCATGATGATAAAATTATTAAGAATGAAAAAGAGCCACATATATCAGAATTGAATGCCCGCATAAACAAAAAAATAATGATAATGCTCAGGGAAAAATATTAACTATTGAAAATAAAATTATATCTCCAAAAACCACAACAAATTTAAAAATTAAAGTGTATATTAACGAACAAAATAATAATAATACCGAAAACATATTCATTGATCCAGTTGACATACTAAGTCGAAAATATTATTTAAAATTGAAAACAAAAATTTTAAGACCACATGACACAATAATACCAGTGTATAATTTTTCAAATTTATACATACAAGTTTACAAAGGTATGACTTTGGGAAAAATAAAATAATTTAGAAAAAACCAACAACGAGGACCAAACAATTTTAACAACTATTAAATTTGACAAGATCACTGATAAACAAGAGACGGTAATACAAATTTCAAAAGAATTAAAGACTGAACAAAGAGAATTAGTAAAAGATTTAATAAACGAATACAAACATCTATTTACATCTGACCCATTAGACATTGGTTGCGCAAACGTCAAGCCGGTTGAAATCAAATTAAAATCAAACAATCCCATATTTCAACCTCCTTACAGAGTATCACCAACACAAAGAAAAAAATTAAAATTTTTAGTAGACCAAATGATAGCCTCTGACATAGTTGAACCTAGTCGAAGTAGCTACGCTGCTCCAGTATTCTTAATACCCAAAAAAGAAAAAGGAGAATATCGATTTTTGGTAGACTATAGGAAATTAAATAATGAAACAATTAGTGATAAACATTCTATTCCTAGATCACAAGATTTATTTAGAAGTATAGAAGGAGCCAGATATTATTATATAATTATAAATATTATTCAATTATCGATATGGCTCAAGGTTACTTTCAAATACCATTAAAAATAGAAGACAAAAATAAAACTGCTTTCATCACAGATTTCGGGCTATATCACTTTAAAAGAATTCCACAAGGATTTAAAAATTCTGGACCTATTTTTCAACGAATAGTTAATAACTTATTTAGTGACTATCTATATAGAACTATGGTGGCCTATTTAGATGACATTTGTTGTTTTGGAAAAAAAATTGAAACAGCATTAAAAAGACTGAAAGAAATTTTCATTCGATTAGACGAAGCAGGATTAAAATTAAAAACAAACAAATGCGTATTTTTCAAAATTGAAATAGAATTGCTAGGTCATAAAATATCTAAAACGATATAGTACCTATAGAAAGAAACATTCAAACAATAACAAACTTCCCCATGCCTAAAAAGGTAAAAGATGTACGCTCATTCATAGGATTAACTAGTTACTATAGGAAATATATTAAAAATTTTGCAAAGATTGCAAACCCTTTAATTAACTTAACAAAAAATGAAAACAAATTTAAGTGGAGCGATATCGAAAACAACGCACTTGAATTTTTAAAAAATGCAATAATAACAGCACCTGTATTAGCTAAATTTCGAGGACGAATACCCAGTTTTCGTCACTACAGATGCATCAATAGAGGGACTTTCGGGCATTCTAGAACAAGAAAACCCTGACAGAAAAAAACACCCAAACGCATTTGCCTATAGGAAATTAAAGGGAGGTGAGAAAAAATTTTCTACAACAGAACTCGAAATGTTAGCTGTAGTATTTGCATTAAACTATTTTAAAGATTATCTAGTAGGTCGAAAAATTACAGTTTTTAGTAATCATTCAAGTTTACAATATTTTAAAACTATGAAAAACCCTTCTTCTAGAATAACCAAATTTTTATTTTTAAATTATTAGAATTTGACATAGATATTAAACACAAACCAGGCTCATGGAATTTAGCGGCAGACTGTTTATCTCGATACCCTGTAGAAAATATCAACACATTAATAAGCGAATTAAAAAATGTTGAAAATAATGAATCAATACCCACGGATAACATTAATATTGAAAACTTAAAACAAAATCAACTATTAGACGAATTTTGTAATGGCATAATAACTACAATTAAAAATAATATTAATTCTAAATATAAAGAAAAGTCAAGACAATGTTGTATTAAAAACGATTTATTGTATTTTAAAAATTAGTCCCCCTACGGAACTAAAAATCTGCTAGTAATACCTAAAAATTTAATCAACACTATATTAAAGTCCTATCACGATTCGGTTTTTAGCGAACATTTTGGAATCACAAAAACTTTGGCAAAATTAAAATTGAAATACTACTGGCCCACAATGATCCAAGATACAATAAAATATGTCACTCCTGTCAAATGATAAAAAACCCCCCTGGGAAAGGTCGTGGACTTCTCCAACCTATTCCATTAATATCAGAAAAACCAATGCAACGTTTAACTTTCGACTATTTAGGTCCACTACCACCCTCTAATGGAAAAAAATATCTTATTGTCGCTACATGTAATGCAACAAAAATGGCATTTGCGAAAACAGTAACAAACGCAAATGGAACAGCAACAATAAATTTTTTAATGAATATTATTACATCCTATGGGGTACCTAAATACTTTTGTAGCGACAGAGGTACTCATTTCAAAAATAAAGAAATGGAATATGCGTGTAAAAAGTTAGGTATTACTCAAATTTTCTCCAGCGCATATCACCCCCAAACAAACAGTATGACGGAACTCACGAATAAAATTATTTACAACAGCTTATCACACTATGTGACTGAAAATCAAAAAAATTGGTCTATTTACTATAAAATGGTAGTGTTTGCATACAATACCACCCTTAGTTCCAGACTTAAACTAAGCCCCTTTTACTTACTTCACGAGATAGAAGCAAATCAACCTTTAGACAACAAATTAATATCAGACGATGATTCCTTTAATTACAAGATTTTTGACAAAAAGTTAGGGAAATCATCCCGAAAAATATAGAAAAAGAACAAGCAATTCAAAAGTCGTAATATGATAAAAAACATAAAAATATAAATTTTACCCCAGGACAAAAAGTTTTAATAAAATTCGATTTCAACGTTCCCAACCATTTAAACCAAAAACCAAACCAAAAAAATTAGCGAATAAATATAGAGGACCATTTACAATCATAAAGAAATTTTTATTTATTTATTTATTTATTTATTTCAGCAAATCAATATCATTATTTCAATACAATAATCAAATTACAAAAGTTAAATTATTACAATAATATTGATAAGAGCTGATACGTATATCAACTGAGCAAGCTCGTTTCTGGTATACGGAGTTCCTATACATATTACATATATAATATAATAAAATGAAAAATAAAATTAACAGACGTTAGTTATAAAGTAGAAATGATACTGAATGGAAAAACAACCATTGACGTCATACACGTCCAAAGAATGAAACCATTATATAACAAAGAAGTGTTAACATTATAAAAAAAAATAAATCTTATTAATAAATAAATTATATAAATAAAATTATTTTTTTGTTTTTTTTAGTTTATAGGGGGTGCTCAATAAATCTCGACGAGACAAATATATACAATACAATATGAAAACGCAAATCATCATATTATTCGCGACTATTCATTTACTAATACACAGTCACTTCCTTTCGAACATAATAAATTTACTAATAATCCCGGCATTTATTTTGAAAACATATCACCATTATACATTACAGTGTCGCAATTGAATTTAATAACATTCTATAACATATCAAACTATGAACAAAACCATATAACTGTAACAACATATTTCAACAATCTAAAAGATTTATGTACCAAATATGAATCAAATTACGCGCAATTAACAGAAACTTGCATAGACCTCATGAAAATTAATATTCAAACACTCAAAAAAATTACTGGAGAACGTGAAATACTACAATACCTAACAATTGACGAAACCGACGAAAATGCAATTAACAAACGAAAAAGACGTAGCTCGTTTTTCGGTGGAATAGGTAAATTACAGCGTGCCCTATTCGGAGTACTCACCGAAGAAGAAGGCGACAATTATGAGAAAAAAATCCGAACTCTCGAAGAAAAACGGATAAAATCCCTCCTAATTCAAAGGGAACAGATTAAAATTTTCAGAAATACTCTAGATTCAGTAGAAAACATTACCTCAAACTACGCAATAATTTGGGATAATGTAGAATATAATATAAAAAAACTAAACGACGAATTAAAACTGCAAAAAGATGATCTCAAGTTTTTAAATATAATTGAATAATTATTAGTTTTCAACTCACTTTATACCAAGATACTAAACCAATACTCAAAAGAAACGACACTACTTCTTAATATAATAATGAATGCACACAACGGACTAATTAACCCACAGGTACTAAGACCAAGTGAAGTTCTAACACAACTAAAAGACATAATGACAAATTTACCTACCAACTTAAATTTACCAGTAGAAATAAGCACAAAAAATTATTTTGACTTTATAAAAATTATAGACCTAAAAATATTTTATAGTTATAAAACCACTTATTAGTATACGTAATATATATCCCATTAATAGAAAACATACCTTTTACTCTTTACCGAATCATTATTTTACCAGTACACGTAAATAGTAATGACTTTATTTTTATACAATCCACACATGAATTCCTAGCGGTAGAAAATAATAAACAGTTGTATACCTTTTTTAATCAAAATCAAATTGACAAGTGTAAAACGATAAAACAAAAACTAATTTGTCAAACCAACATACCACTATCAAATAATGTAAAACTAAATTATGAATTTCAATTATTTACAAACGGAAATATTATGCCAAAAAATTGTGAAATAAAAACCGTACCTATTTTTAATGACATTTGGCACCAATTAGGAAACAATAACCGTTGGTTACACGCAACGCACGAAACAATAGATCTTATCATAAACTATCAAGATAATGTTAATAATATACAAATAAATGGAACAGGGATACTAACTTTGAAATCAAATTGCAAAGCCTTTACCAAAAACAATATTATTTTAACGAAATACCTAGGAAAAGGTAACTTTTCCAAAGATTATGTACCACAATTTCAACTACCAACAGGACAATTTAATACCATAATTAAAAATCAAAAAGAAAATAATGCAATCTACCATAACTCGGCTACGAAATTTAACGACTTGAACACATACGCAAAATCAATGACAGCCCTAGACGAACAACTTAAATATGAACTAGCAAACGAATCCAAAGAAAAAGTCACGACGGTTCACACAACAGGGGTAACTGATAACAGGCAACTGATTCAATTATTGGTAATAATATTTAATTAAACATAAAATGGTTCTTGTATAAATTATTTATTCTTTGGAATAAATGATGAATTAGAATATCTTTAGTTAAGTACTCGTATAATAACGCTACAGCCAATCGATCAAAGTATGAACTAATATATTATTAACAAAAATAAACATCTAAAAGTATTTCGATTTTAATAATGTGAAATAACATTAATTTATATAGTTAAAAGAGACATTTTGACCACATGAGAGATTTAAATAACAAACCCAAAATCTGGAATACTATGGGTTTCTTCATCCTGTATTTAACTTTTTGGTTGGTAATGCAATTGGAAATCTCCCAGTCCTCCCTGTTTCTAGTTAACTTCTTTAGTTTTGTGTAGCTTGATAATGTAGTATCGGAGATAATTTATTCAACAAATTAAGTTCTTGGACGACCCGAGTGTCTTTTATCTTCAATTTTCTTTCTATTATTCTATAAATGAGTTCATTTTCGTGTCTCGATGTGTGATCAATCATGTTCCAACATCTTGCTAGGATAGCTTCAATAGCTATCTGTGTTAATTTATTTCTCTAGGTATGTTTCAATTGGAACGGTGTTCTATCCAACTCTCTAGCACCATCATTTTCCAACATTGTATTTTAAAGCATTTAAGTATCGTTGTTCTGCATTATATAGTATTCAGGTTTCACCGCTGTATACATTCCATACGTATACTTAAATGAAAAATTTCTTTACTGAAGTAATATATATTTTATATTTCATTATTGACGTGGAACTAGATTTTAGTAAAAAGTTATGAAGTTAGATTTAAACATTTTAAATATCAAAAAAAATAAAATTAAAAAAACCAATTGAACTGGTAATGATAACTTCTAAAATACTTTTGAATTTTTCGAATAATGACTACCTGTTTTTACAGACTCAATGGTGGCAGCTTCCAGTAAAACAACCTGGACAAATAATTAAATCCAGTCGCCGTTCAGTTATAAACGACAGTCGATAATGAATAATCATTAATGTTGTAAAAAATTTCATCTAAATCTAACATTTGTTTTAGAATACAAATGTAAACAACAATAGTCCCGTACGTAGAACCGAGGTCACTAGCACCGGTTTTATGTTTGCTAAACAATTAATTGATGCAGAGATTGACTCCTGAAATTAGTAATCCATACTTCACGAATTCACCCATAACCTCATCAAATGGTGACAAGTTCAGATTAATCATATCAAATGAGTTGTTTGAATTCATTAAAATACATTATACAATAAATTAATTGGTAATTATAACCTTTTAAAATGCTTTTGAATAATTCGAATAATAACAACTAAACAATTCATTTTCATAGACTCAATAGTAATGGTTTCCAGCGATACAATCTGGACACATAAATAAACACAGTATTCAATATCAACAGCCAACGATAATTTGTAAGAAAAATTAGATAACCATTAATAATGTATAATATTTCATCCAAATCATAACATTTATTTAAGGATAACACATCACTACAATAATCAATAATTCCCGTACTTAGAACCCAAACCACTAGCGCCGGTTTTATGTATTGAGAACAATGGATCAATGGAGAGGTTAACACCTATAATAAGTACCTCATATTCCATAATCATTCCAACTTATCAAATGCTGATAATTAAAGTTTAACATTATCGAATTAAATGTTAGAACAAGAATCTGATGTGCGATTGGATTATACAGTAGAGCATATAACTACTGAATGCCAAAAATACGAAGACACGAGAAAAAAATACCACATATCACAACAGATCGGAGAAGCGCTGAGATCTAACCCTCAATCAACCACCAACATCATACCATTCATAAAATAAATTGAACTATGCAACTTAATTTAAGACATACTCGTACAATAACATTAAATAAGCTTTTGTAAACTAATTTTAAGTTAATATTAAACTAATGGCCCTAGAAGCCAATGTTTTATAAAAAGATCAATAAAAAAAAAAAAAAAAAAGAATCTAATACATTTCTTACGAAACCAGAGAATATAAATAAGTTGAACATTGGGTCGAGTAATGACTCGGAAGAAAATTCAGTGTTCGATCAATCATCGATATCATATTGATTGGGATTTGAATACCTTTCTCATTTACATATAAATCTACCTACTCTAATCATATTATTCAAACAATGTATGACTATATATTTTGTCTACTTCTAGTAATATTTCAACATTCCAATAGCACATCAAAAACATATTCGACATTTGATACCATAAAAGTGAGAAATAATTTATTAATTAATAAATTATTATTATTTTTATTATTATTAATTAATAATTAATATTTTTTATTAATAATTTATTTACTTTTATTTTGGGAGGGATATTAAGTACCTACTATTTTAAAAATTTTAATAAAACATTTTTGAGAATAGTATGAACTCTGGCTAATCGATTGTAATGAACACAACGGTAAAATATTATTTTAATTGAGTTAGACACGTATTTTTTAAAATTAAATTTTTTGTGATTAAATCATCGATAACTACTGTCACTTCAGTAAATGTTAAGGCATCAACGGAAAAATTGATCGTAATACTATTGGACATTTAGAAAAAAATTAAATTACTCATTGAAGTGTAATTTCAAATATTTTTAGATCAAAATACTACGGTTGAATTTTTAAACTTCACTACAAAATAAATAGGTTTATATTAATTTCTGGTGTTTTCCAAGCATGAATCCCGTTTATGTATTAAATTGTTCTAACTTGGAAAATATTGATATACGTTACGATAGAAAATTCAATACCTCAATTCAACGTCCATCAAAATGCAATTTTTGAATTAATGCGAAGATCTACTATACTCAGGAATGATTGAAAACAAAATTAATTCTAGAGGAATTCTTGATAAATTTGTTTCCTCCCAAAACTGATCGAGAGGTTTTGAGAAACGAGCAATGGTGTAATAGTTAGAGTTATTCCGGCATTGCACCGCTTGCTTACTTATCTCATCCTATTGGGAAATAGACGGAGTTATTCTGACATTCCACTGGATTAACAGATTCTAATCGAAACTCATTGTAGTAAATTTTAACAAAATTACCTATGCTTATAACACCTAATTGGTTAATTTAATCTACATAAAATTTGTACAGTGGGTAGTTAAAAATTAAATACAACTTAAATAAATAATAAGGGGAAATTTCTTTTGTCTAGAACCGTTTTTTCAAAGTAATAGGGGACAAAAACGAAAATCGTGTAACTTTCGATATTTTTCGTTAAATCACTATAAATCAATCAATTTTGGATTTATAAATTTGGTTGAACTACTAAAATTCATAAAAAATACGGAAAAACTAATTTGTACTCAAAAGTGGAGTTTGCCATTTAAAAAAAAAGAATTTACAATGCGCATGCGCGAGTGTGATAGGCTTAAGTTAGAGAACATAAAAATATGTATTATTAAGTATTACATTCATCTAAAAAACAGAATTCAAATTGCATTGCTCTACGCAAAAATTGTAGGTGTATCCAATTATTGTTTACACGATGTTTATGTGAAATATTGTCATTTTATTTGTTGATAAGTAAAAAAATAATGTTATTTAGTCAAGTGGTACGTGAAAATTTTTCAAATTGTGGTATGTGGATATAAAAAGGTTGGAAATCGCTGTTTTAAAATAATAAAATGTTTTTTAACAATTTCCAGTATCCAAACTTCAGTATCCGAAGTAGGTGCTATCCCATTTAATTTGGATAATCTAGGTTCTACTCTAGATATATTATAATATATGTATTCCAATTTCAAAAACTGCATATATGTTTATATTGAACGTTACCTATAGTAGGCAATTTTTTTTAAAAATTTTGAAATGGCTACCAAATTCTTATATTTGCATTTGATTATTTTAGTAGTATTAAATAAACATTTACCTACCTCTATCCTGTCTGCAGTTATAATCCTTGTATAGAAATTAAACACTTTCTGTTCAGTTACTTATTATTTCACTCTTTCTACTTAACTCTTGGCCGCAATATCCTAATTCTTTCAGACATCTTTTTCGTTGAGCTCCCTTTGTTTTTTCCTGCAATCAGAGTTCATTTTGTGATTAAGAACAGGACATGTTACTAATGATGTTGATGTCAATTTTAATAATTATAATACGATTTTTAGAAAACACCTAAAATAACTATGCTTTCCTTAGCCATTGTATAAAATTAATTTGAATATTTTAACATTGTTCCTATAGTCTATTAGCACTTGTTATGATTTTTCAATGGTCATATTATCGTAATGATTTACGCTATTGTACGCTAGGTAATCAAAGTAGTGTTATTACTTATTATTTCTTTAGTATATTTTCTATATGTGTTATATACTATAATTCCAAGTAATGATGTACAGTAGAATGCGTGTATATACTGTATAGCAGTGGTTCTCAAACTGGGAGGGGGCGTGCCTTTCTAGGGAAGCAGGTACATTTTTAAAAAGCAACAAAACACGAAAATATTATTTTTGATTATTCTGATATTTAATAGAGAAATTATTAAATCACAATTTATTGGAACTAAGCAATGTCAATCCTCTCATTAATTTGTATTTATTTAATGATAATACATTTAAAATTTAATATTTAAGAAAATTAATATAATATATTTGTTTTAATAATATTAAATTTTAATAGTATTTTTTCCCTAATCAATAAATATATTAAATATTAAAAAAAAAAACTTCATTGAATCTCATATCATATTAATCCAATAACCAACATTACTGTTATATCTATGTATTATAGTATGATGTATATATTTAAATATATAACTTCATGGTTATGGAAAGATATTGACTACCTTTATTTCTCAATAACATATACTAACCCGATAGTCTTCAAAATTACTTAATTGAAATTTTTTTATTTTTTTGTTTACACAAAAATGTATATATTACACTTTACTTGGATTTTTATTAATATTATATTTCTAATATTTAGAGTACTAAAAATATCACATTCGTAATGACGTACTAGTATAAATAGAAAAACTAACATTCAAACTTCTAGTTAAATATTTTAAATAGTTTATCATATATAATCAAATTTTCATAACTAAATTTTTTCGTTCACTAGAAATGTTAATTTATTGGTGATTGGTATCGTCATCCTATAATGTATTAATATGATATTTCCTTGTTTTTTTTTTGTCGATTCTACTATTTATACTTAATAATAAAACATTTATTTATATATATTTATTAACAAATATAAATATAGTAAGGGAATAAAATAAATTATTAAATATATTAATCATACTATATATTAAATATAAATTGTAGTAATACATTTAAGAAAAAACATTATTTTTGCTAATAATCATTTTTATTTAATTTTAATTTTATAAATTACAACTAATTACTATATAATTAATATATATAAGCTTTGTAAAACATTTAAAATTCTATAGATGTTAACTCAAAAACAAGAAATTATACACTCTCTCTTTTAAAAACATTTTGTTCTTTTGAAACAATTTTAATGACAATGATGTTTCTTCAATTCTTTAAAATAACCACACCGTTATTCGATATTTCCAGTATCAAAATCTAGATTTTTTTCAAGCTTATTACTAGATTAGTTTTACTTAGATATGTCTTTTACAAGACTATTTTGATCATACAATGAAAGCAGCCAAATATTTTGTTGATTATTTGAAAAGTAAAATTGAAAATCAAAGAAGACCAAATTGACATCGAAGTCGAAGAAGAACTTCCAATAAAACGTAAAAAAAACTGTAAAACACATATTAGGTATAGGCGGAGCTAGGTGGGTGCTTGAGGGATCTAAGCCCCCCTGAGTTTTTAATTAGGCCCCCAAATATAAACCGTTAATAATAGTTATATACCTACAATTTTGTATCATTATTCACAGATATATTACTTATTCAAAGGACATCGGATTTATTTAAAACGACATCTGCAATTAATTAAATATTTTTATGTACATTTTCCTAAACTTTGGCCTGTTTGAGAACTTATACATTCTGTTAAGTCATGGCATTATAAACATTGTTAATCATTTTTGACAATGATATATCATCCTTATTGATAACATATTCATAAACACTTGTATGATATGTTATTATAGTTTATTTTTATAAGAAAATTGGAATATTAAAAAAATTCTCAATTTTAGATTTCGAAACGAAATACATTGGTTTTATTCATAGTATCTGTGCAGAGTCGTGCGCACGGTGAGTGCCGAGTATGCACGGACAACTCAGAAATATTGTAAATGAGGCTCTAGAAGTTAAGTCTAAGAGTAAATTGCCCAAATGTTAACTGATGTTGTTCAAATTGAATGTTCTTATACTAAAATATTTGGTAAAAAAAAAAAAAAAAAAATTGGAAAAGAAATTCTATATTTTCACACAAAAATGTATTATGATAATATAATAATTACCTACAATTGATTATAAAATAAATCATTAAATTATTATTTAATTATATATCCATAATAGTTTATTGTATATACCTACATGTTGAGACAAGGTTCAAAAGTATTGTGAGTACTCCCTGAAATATAAGTCTGCAAACGCTTATGTATCTTTGTACACAATTACGTTCAGATCCATTTAAAATATAAACGTCGTTCATGTTTACGTTCTATTTAAAAGAAAAAAAAAAGAGTGACGTTCGCGTGTTATTCACAAAATATGAACGTGAACGCATGAACATGCGTTCATGGACGTCTTTTTTTCCAAACACTGCTGATAACAAATGTTTTTTTTTTTTTGTTGTGTTAGGAAGAAATCCATTTTATATTTATAGAAAGACACTCAAAAACTCAAAACGCGTTCTTTTTCAAATACAAAAATCAGGAACAGGAAATAGTTCCTATTTACGAGGAACTTAAACGCA